TTCATTAGTATTGTTAGATTTAGATATTAACAAAGAGTTAGAGCTTGAAGGTATAGCTAGAGATATTGTTAGAGTAATTCAACAAACAAGAAAAGATATAGATTTAAAAATTACAGATAAGATTAATTTAGAGATTTCAACTGATGAAGAAATTATTAATAGAAGTATTGAGAAGTGGTCTAGATATATAAAAGAACAAACTTTGGCAGATGAAATTAGATATAAAATTACTAAACCTAATGCTCAAAAAGGTTATTTAATTGAGTCTGGGAAGTTTAATCTAAATATTATAAAAAATTAATGCTTTTTTTAGTACTTAAGAAATATGATTGATATTTTTAAAAAAATTCCAAAAATTATTTTATTTCTTATTTTTCTTTCGGCAATTTTATGGAATTTTCAACCGATTGGTTTATCTAAAGAAGGCTGGCATTTGTTAGTTATATTTATATCTACTATAATAAGTATTATTGCTGCTCCATTACCTTTAGGGGCACTTGCAATTTTAAGTCTGGCAGCAACAGTTGCAACTGGTACTTTAAGCACTAAAGAAGCATTGAGTGGATTTAATTCAAATATCTCTTGGTTGGTACTATTAGCATTATTTGTATCTGAAAGTATATCTAAATCAGGATTAGGTAAAAGAATAGCATATTTTTTAATTTGTAAATCTAAAAATAGCCTAATAGGTTTATCTTATACATTAATTATGTGTGAATTGATATTATCTCCAGCAATTCCAAGTATAGTTGCTAGGGGAGGTGGTATAATTTATCCGATACTTACGTCTGTAATTGAAGTTCTTAATAAGAATGAAAAAAAAGAAAATATAAATTTATACCTTATCCAAGCTTGTTTTCATTCTACAGTAATTACAAGTGCAATAACACTAACTGCTATGGCTGCAAATCCATTAATTGTCAGTATTGCTGGCACATTTGGTATTAATATAACATGGAGCACATGGTTTATAGCTGCTATAATTCCTGGTTTATTAAATTTAACAATTATGCCGGTATTTTTATACTATATATTAAAACCAGAAAACATAGATGTGAATGAAGTTAAAACATTTGCTAAAAAACAACTAAAAGCACTTAAAAATTTTACAAAAGAGGAATTGTTAATTACTTTTACTCTAATAGGTCTAATTACTTTTTGGATACTAGGTGATTTTTTAAATATAAGTGCTACTAAAACAATATTAATTGGGTTCTCTGTATTATTATTAACACGTGTTATTCCATGGGATGATGTTATAAAAAATAAAAAAGCGTGGGGTATTTTTATATGGTTTAGCACCCTATTAATGCTTTCAGATTTTCTAGTAAAGTTTAACACTGTTTATTGGATTAATGAAGAAATAAAATATCTTATTCATGATATAGATAAAACTTTAATTATACCATTATCACTTTTGTTATTTTTTTATTTACATTACTTTTTTGTAAGCACAACTGCTTATGTTTCAACATTATTTGCACCGTTTTTAATTATTTTGTTGAA